TCTTAATAAAATTATAAATTTTAATATAAAGAGAAAATTTCAATTTTTACTATATTTTATTAATAAATTTAGTTTCTAAGTTATTATTTTTAGTCATAACTATATATAATAATAATTAAATATAATATAATACTTGAATTTTTTATTAATTATAATTAATAAAAAATCTGAAAAAATATATACTAAACTAAAAAACTTTAACTATTTTTTAAGTTAAAAATAAAAAATATTTATTAGTAAAATTAAAAATTTTTATATATAAAAAAATATATATTTTATTAATTATAATTAGTAAAAAATTTAAGTATTACATTATTTTAATTATCATTATATAATTAAAATCTTAATTAAAATTTAATTTTTTTAATATTAACTAATTTAAAATAACATAATTTATTTTAATTATAACTTAATTTTAATATTAATTAAAATTATATAATTATTTCTTTTTAAGTTTTTATTATTAGAACTAATCTTAATAATTAGTAAGAATATATAAATTTTTAATTGATTTAATAAAATAAATCTAAAAAAGTATTAATAATAAATATTTAATCTTTTCTTACTAATTTTATCAGTTTAAAATATTAATTGATTCTTATTTTTTATCTCTTTATCTTTTTGCTTGGCAACTATATTAATTTAACTTGAAATATTAATAAAAATATTAATAATTTTAAATATATAAACTTAGCTTCTAATCTTATTCTAAATCTTCTTAAATTAATCTTCAATAATATAATAAAATTTTTCAAAATCAACAAAAAGAAAAATCAAGCCATATGTTGGTGATACTATTATTAATTCATAAGCACTAATTCACGTGCTAACGGAATTTTACAGTGTTTCTAATTTTAGATCAAGTTTTAACATGCTTTTATCAAAATTTTGCTTTGATTACATGATTTGATCTGAATTGTGGCTTACTGGCCAAATAATTTAATTTAATCTAATTTGTCGTCGATTATTATTAAAACATATAGAAATCCCATTTCAAGAAACCAAATTAAGAATTAGATTTTCTTAACTCGTGTATGATTTATACAAAATTATTGAGTAATGTGTGTATTTTGTTTTTGATTACTGCTAACTACTAAAAAAATCCGATTGATTGATTAGTTGAATTAATTATTTTAATTATTTGAATAAGAATCGATTATTGTTATCCTAAATTGTTTTTTCATTTTGATTTGTGTAATTTAAGAATAACAGTAATGATAAAGAAAAAAATCTAATTCCTTCTATAAAAGAAAATAATAAACCAAAAAAATTATTCATTAAAAGGCATGGTATATTGATTCATCTTAAAAACACAAAACGTCAATGAAATAGCCCACGCAAAAGTAATCAAGTAATATGATGGTGGTTTCACAGTAGTAATAGCATCTGATCGTATTCCGGGTCCACTCTTATCCGAGCAATTGCAATCACCCTTTCCAGTGAGCGCTTGCACCAATGTATTGGTGAAAACACCCTGACTATCGTATTTGGCTTTAATAATGTTTAAACGTGGTGCATTTTCGCCAAAGTATATATATGAGGCACTTTGGGAAGTGGAAGTGCTGCCGCCACTCGAAGAACCACTTCCAGAGGTGCCTCCATTACCACCAGATGCACCGCCTCCATTACCACCCCCGGAACCATTAGATGAAGTACCACCGCCAGAAGTGCCACCATTACCACTAGATGCACTGCCTCCATTAGAGCCCCCGGAACCATTAGACGAAGTACCACTTCCAGAAGTGCCACCATTGCCACCTCCGGAACCATTAGACGAAGTACCACTTCCAGAAGTGCCACCATTGCCACCTCCGGAACCACTAGATGAAGTGCCAGATCCAGTACCTCCGCTGGATGAGGAAGAACCAGACGAAGAACTTGATGATGATGATGACGATGATGAGGAGCTCGATGATGAGGAGCTCGATGATGAAGAGCTCGATGAGGAGTTTGATGATGAGGAGCTCGATGAAGAGGAAGAACTCGAATACGACGTTGAAGACGATGCTGAATATGATGAATATGCGTTCCCTGTCACAACATCAGCATCGATATATCCCTATTAAAAATCAAATAAAATTAATAGTTGATCACAATTTTTAACTGTTCATATAAACTCGGATATTCAAAAATATAACTTACCACATATGAAAATCCATTCGAAAAGATGCGCACTTGAGTATCCCATTTCTTAATCCATTCGTAAAACACTGAATCGTTCGCACTATTCCCGGTAAGTGCAACACCAATCTGTAAATGGAAAGCGGTATTTTTACGATGCCTGAAAGCTGTAAAATTAGTATCCTGGGTGGCCAATATTCCTCCATAAGAATCAAATTGCGCAAAAGCACCAAATGGTAAATCGTTTATAAGTGCTACAATAACGTTTAATTGATCGTCGGTGAATTCCACATTAAAGTACATTGATTTGCTTTTCTCAAGTTCACGAATTTGCTTTGGGCCAGCTGGGATGCCACTAATAGTGTCATTGGTAACAGTCCCAGCTCCCCCATTATACGTTACAGAGTATGTAGTGGTCATAGAATTGTTAGTGACGATCGAGCTTGCCATGCTTAGCGAATAGTTGTAAGAGGCATATGGTTGATCCCCAATATTGAAGAGATCAATTCTGCTACAATTGTAGTCGTCACCAAGGAAGTAAGCACGTGATCCCATATTATTACAGCTCATATATTCAACACATGCTAGTTGGGTGATATTGTCGACACCACTATTCGCAATAATTGCTAATAATTCGTCTATAGTGCCAAGGAAATGTCCACGTATCTTTACGCCAAAATCATGCTCAGAAGTGCCGGATCCATCATGAGTAATTGTGAGTATTGAAGTCATGTCATTACGTTCTTTCCATGCCCATTTAGTCCATGCAGTAATTGCTTGTTTAACGTATGAAGTTGGATATCCAATATGCCAGACAGTAACATTATTCCAGGCGTCAATCAAATTTAATCTCCATCCAGTGACAATCCCATATGTACCTCCACCACCACCACGTAAAGCCCAAAATAAATCGCTATAAGAGTTATTATTCACTGTAAGAATGTTTCCATCGGCAGTAACTACTTCTGCTTCGTATGCAAAGTCACCGGTGACACCATATTTACGAGATTGTAACCCCCATCCACCTGATGCAATAATACCCGATAGACCGATTGTTGGGTGAAGACCAGAAACAATGGTAAAACCTGCTTGATCTAATTTCAAATATAAAGGACCAAGACGAATTCCTCCACCAACCCACGCAGTCTTTGTAGAATTGTCAACCGATACAAAGTCAATATAACTAATATCAATTACAACCGAGTTATTTACTGATGAATATCCTTCGGAACTATATATTTTTTTTAATCAGAAATTAATAATATGATCACATGATATCACAATATCGACCAATAATTCTCTGCTTCAAAAATTACCTGTGACCACCATTTCTTGGCACGGGCCGAAAACTGAAGTGTGTAGAGCATTTTACCAGCCAACTAACTTGACTAGAATTTGATGGATAACTGATTGCTTTTGGGAAAGTAGGAACTCTGAAACGAACATAAGAATTTTAGTTTTTCCCAACGCCTACTAACACAAATATGAAATACCCTCGCATACCTTATTCTTTCACCAGAACGAGCATCTTGGTAACCAGGGTCACTCGATAAAATGATATAAGAACCCGTCCCTTTGATACAATCTTCCACAGACTTAAAACTACTTGGATTAAAGTCAGCGCTAACGGTATTCGTGCCAATTACGACGCTCAATAATAGAATAATGACCCCCAGACAGCCACAATAAAATGGGGATATTATTGAACCGTTTCTCGTCATTGGTGTTTTCAATCGTCGTCTGCTATTCGTATTTATTTAATGATATTAATTCCAAAAGCAAAAATAAAAATGACGATGAAAGGGGTAAAGAAAACGATTTGAAGCTTTCGTGTCGATTTTATATGCGAGGCTACATCTTTCGTTGTGTATTGGGGTAACTCTTTGCCTAATTTGGCTTTTCTTGGTGGTATTTTTTTTTAAATATCACAAAAAAGATGGATACCCGAAAGACAATATAAATAATAATATAATCGTTTATGATAAACGCGCTCTTACATCAAGACGCGCATATACAATGTAGTACTTGTATTACGCGGTTATTATTCTACATTATTGAATAGCATTGATTGAATAAAAAAAGTTGAGCAATGATGGATATGGGATTTTTCGGATTTTGCAATGAACGAGAATAAAATTACTTTATCGGATACTATGTTTTTTTTCTTTCGAGCTTAGACGTGTCTCGAACAATCGAACGCTCGAAATTTGAGCAAAATTATAGTTTACTACATTTGGGTTTTAATAAAAATGCGGTTTTACCTCGATAAGGATAGAAAATAGCTCTAACGTCACTTTGTCATTTAAAATGTGTAATCGACAACGTGCTTTTTTGTTACATTTTTAAGTTGAACTGATCGGGAAAAAACTTCAAATTGCTTTTATTTGTTTTGCACATCATCCAGCCCAACTTGCCGCTCTTCTTTAACAATTTAAATCATTTGATCTAAAGAGAGGAAACTCGCAGTTGACCCATTACTAAGTAAACAAGTTTCCTCTTATAGCTCTACTACACATTGTTTTAATCTGTTCATTGTTATTGAGCTTTAACTGATGGAATCCAATTTTCAACTAATTTTTTATTGGCTAAAATCGACGACCAATTACTATATATGGGCAATTGTCATCTAAATTTAGCCCATATGACAGAGTCTAAATCCACTAAATCATAAATCTACTATATCGAGCGGATATTATCCATTATATCGCGAGTTTAATTAAAAAAAGATGTTGCTGCGCAATTACAAAAAAATGCAGAACACATATTAAATGCTAGCTATTTTTCCATGACCCATCACGTGTAATTATGATTGACTCCCGATGAGCTCTATTTTTAACTATACCGAAATAAACGCTTGTGGGCGTTATTTCGAAAATCGTACTCTTTAAAAATAGCATACATGGTTTCAAAAACGTCATGGACGTCCCGAAATAACGCGCACCATATAACATATCGGCAGATTTACGTACAATTTAATATCGAAAGTGTATCGATTTACATGATAGATCTTATAAATTCAACTCTGATCTTTAGTTCGAGCCAGTCCGATTACCATAAATCGCGGTGTAGTACTCCCCCCCCCCGGTAATAAATTCAAAAAATTTAAACTTCATTTTAATCCGACTTTTTCTAATAGAACGAAAATATCGATATTTGTTTCACAAATAAATAAATTTAAATTCACAGTGTAGTTTCTTAAAAACTTTTGCTAGCCTTGAAGTTAAATTGAGGTTTAAATTCTTTAGATTTTTACAAGGGAGGGGGACTATACACCGCGATTTACGGTATATAATAATGCATTCCCTGCAACTTACCTATTACGAAAATTTTTTAAATCAGAAATCAACTTTTTGTCTCAAAATAGCGCATACGCGCGTACTCGAAATAATGCGCAGGTGAGCGCTATTCGCGAAAATAAGATATTTGAAATTTGCTTTTTTACTTTCTTGATATTTACTGTAAATTTCTTTTTGCCCATTTTTCTTTCTTATATTTTAATTTCTTAACAAATATATCATATATATCAATTTAAGTAAATAGAATGCCTTTCAATATAGATACAGATGTGAATCAATATGAAACAGGATGTGTTAGTTCTAATCAACTTAGAATAATTCAGAATTGGATATTAATAAATTCAATATAACTTTACCAATATTAATTATTAATATAAAATCAAAATATAATTATTATTAAGAATTTCTAATCTTGTTAATTCAAATATAATAAACTACTAATAATACTTTTTCTTAATTGCTTAAAACTATTATAAATCCAGAATAATTAAGTAAATTATTATAATATATTAAAAAAACTAGAATTATTATTTTTATTTATATTTAATAATATTTATTTAAATAATATAAAATTTTAAATATGCTTGATAAACAAGTTTACTTAAAAGAATTTAATAATTTATTTTAATAAAATTTTTTTATAATTAAAATTTTTTTGTTAAAATTTTTTGAAAAAATTAGTTATAAAAAATTTAAAATTCTTTTTTAATATTTTTTTATTTATTATTTAATAAATATTTTTAAATTATATAAAAATTTTAAATATATATATTTAATAATTTAGTAATAAGTTTACTTAAATTAATTTGCAAAATAATAATCAAATTTAATTATAATAATTTTTTTAAGTTTTTTTTAAAAATTTTAATTATAAAAATATAAATTATAAAAAATTTTAATAAGATAAGTATGATCTGATATAAAAAGATTGATAATATTAATAAATTATTTTTTCAAAATAAAATTTTAATTCTGTCTTATTTAATTAAGTTATTAGATATTGAAATTTA